GCTTGTATGTATGCATATGTTTTGTATGTATGTGTGTGTGTTTGTTTATATCTTTGTATATGTTTTGTATGTATGTGTGTGTGTGTGTTTGTTTATATCTTTGTATATGAACTCTATACATTCATGTATACATAATATACATACGCAGCATACATACATACAAACAAATATACATACATACACACATACATACATACACATATACATAAACACATACATACAAACTTTCAAGCATACATAAACACAAAAAAACATTTATGCAAGCAAGCATACATAGTCCGCGCGCAGATTGCAATGTCATATTTCATAATTTTGACGTTAACACGATTTCGAACCATCCACCTCATATGACGTCATCGTCGTATTGTTTATCAGTTTCGTTAGGAAATGCATAGAAGCAAAATAATTTTCTACAAAATGGAAAATTCTCTCCGCCTTTCTTCGCCCACAGGCAATGGCAGCAACAAATTTGTCCATACTTTCATTTCTATGGAGCTATATAGAGGAAACTTAACCGCTGAGAATCACTCCATGCCGGAAACTAACAACAATAACAACAATAATCTCCATAATAACAATAATAACTGTAATAACAATAATAACAATAGCCACAACAACAATATTCTATATCAGTATATATATATATATATATATATATATATATGAATTGTATAATAATGACATTTACATGTATTTGTGATAAAAACACACCAAACACACACACGCGCGCACACACAAACGTATATATATATATATATATATATATATAAATATTTATGTGATTCTATACAATTATATTTTGCCTTAATATGTATTGATAAACATATATTTTAATGTTTTGATGTAATATACAAATAGGCAAACATTTATACCCATATATATTTATACGTATATATTATAATACTAATTTTATTATAATAAATAAAACAATGCAACATCTTTTCAAAATGTATATATATATATATATATATATATATATATATATATATATATATATATATATATATATATGTCTATGCTTATATGCATAGATACACACATAAATAAATATATATATATATATATATATATATATATATGCAAGTTATATATTGATAGCTTATATTTTTCAGTAATACAAGCCTTTATAATTGTAATAGGAAATTGGTGATGTCGAATACAGTATAGGTGTATATTTATATATGGTACGTATATACATATATATATATATAAATATATATATATAAATATATATATTGTAAAAAATATATATATATATATCACCTATATTTTATATTGAAACATTGTTTTACACATTTTTTCTCTGAAAATACATTTTTTGAAAAAAATTATTTTTCAAGTGATTAATTTTTCTTTTTTTTAAGTTATTTATTTTCGTTTTTTTTCCGTCCAAAAAAAAATTATAACTCTGGAAAAATATACTTCATATTTTCGTCTATGTTCAATTTAAATGATTGCTGTATGCATATGACCGTCGGTGGGATTTTTTTTTCTTTGTTTTGCCAATTATTATTATTGCTTTTATTGCTTTTATTGTTATTATTGTTATTATTATTTGTGGTTGTTGTTGTTGTTTGATTTATTGTTTTTAATGTGCGTTATATTTGATGTTGTTGTTGTTTTGTGTCCATTTAATGTTGTCTGCTGATGCTGAAAGATGGGATTTTAATGTTTTTGTCTGCTGTTTGTTGTTTTGGTTGTTGTTTTGGTTGTTGATGATGATGTGTGCTTGATGTTTTCGAGTTGTCGTTCTGGTTTAGGAGGATGTTTTTGATGTGTCTATTGAAGTTGTTGTCACGGTTGTTGATGTTTTTGTTGATGTTGTTGCCGATGTTTTTGTTGATGTTGTTGCTGATGTTTTTGTTGTTGTTGATGTTGTTGTTGATGTCAGCAATTGTCAGAAAGTTGATGTTTTGGCTGTCGGCCTGCCTGCAATGGGCATCGTTTATTCACCTCGTAGCATCATTATTATGCTTCTCAGCTCGCACGCACATGTTTTCATTGAGAGATGCATATTTCGTGTGTTCGTTTGGGTGTTGTGTGTGCGTTTGTTTGTGCGCGTGTATGTGAAAGTGTGTATGTGTGTGTGTGTGTTTGAAGAACAATGACACGATTTGAGCAAATTTTTTCTTCAAAAATATTTGAAAAATAAAAGTAAAATGAGATTATGAATGTCAGTATTTTAACATGCTAAAATTTCGGGTTTAATGTCTGAGGAAGAGAGGATGGATGCATGAATGAATGAATGAGTTAATGAATGAATGAAAGAAAGACTGAGTGAATGAATGACAGAACAGATGAATGAGTATATTAGTGAGTAAATAAATAAATAAATAAAACAATGCAACCTCTTTTCAAAATGCACATAATTTGTTAGTATGCATGTATTTTTGTATGTAAATGTATGTTTATGTGTATGTATGTATGTATATATGTGTGTTTGTATGTATGTATGTATATAAGTACACACGAGTGTACACACGCAGTTACATACGCCTAC